ACTCGTGTCGTCGCTGCTCCTTCTCAGGATGCAGCTACTCGCTTAGCCGCTTTGTCCTGCATTGGAGAGACCCCTGTTCGGGTCTCCAAGAACGCTCGGTTAAATGCCAGTATTGGCACTGTTTTCCTCCCACACCATGTTGCAAGTAGTGTTCGGAACCTCAGAGATTGCCATGAGGATATTAAACATATCCTCGAAGCCCAAGGCCATTCTGTCCTCCAGGTGGACACGTTTACTCTACCCCCTCGTGGTCATCGCCGTCAGCCCCTTTGAGTTGTAAAAATCACCTTTGATAGTAGGGCCCTTCCGCCCTCCATTATTCTTGCTGGTGCCAGATGCTCCATTCAGGAGTACATTCCCTCTCCTAGACTATGCAATAAGTGTTGGAAGTTCGGGCACGGTGTCCTCAAATGCACCAGTACTGTGTATCTGTGCCCCTTGTGTGGGGACGATAGTCATTCTAAGTCCGAGTGCACTTCTCCCCAGGCTCGCTGCCTCAATTGCGGTGAAGCCCACCCTACCTTCTCACGCTCGTGTATACACTACAAACTCGAGGAAGCCGTCCTCAACTTGAAGCACCGTGATCGTCTGTCTTTTCCTGAAGCGAGACGCCAAGTTCGTCGTCTCACCCCTTTCGCGGGCGTCTCCTACACTCGCGTGTTGCGTTCTACCTCTCCTCGTCCTTCCCGTCTTCCTCAGTCTCACAACCGTTTTCAGGTCTTAAACCCCACCACACCCACCACCTCCTCCCCTATTCCTTTGTCTCCTGTCCCAGATGGTCTCCCTCCCGGTTCTCCATCTGAGATTTCCCCCCTTCCTACCCAGTCTGCCATATCTCCTTTGTCTTCTTCCCCATCTCCCCTCACTCTTTCTTCCCGACCTCCCCCCAGTCTCTTGACCCTCCATGCCACCTGACTGTCCAGGCTGATATCCATCATCCTCCCAGCAATCTTTGTGCTGTTCGCTCTCGTTCCTCTTCTCCTGCTGAGACCATCGAGTCTGTCGCCCGGTACGTTGTTACTGGAACGCCTGTCTCTTCGAGTCAGAAATGTAAGCCTGGCTCCTCTCCTTCCTCTCCAGCAGGTAAGAAGGTTTCGCTTTCTTCCTCACCCCCTCCCTCTGACTCTGTCACTACATCCCCTCCCATTTCAGTAGTCAAACCCCCTGTCTCTGATATGGAGGTTTCTTCCGCCCCCGATTCCCTCTCTGTTGCTGCCCTTCCTGAGGTGCACTCCCTGATTTCTGCCCCCCCCCTCTTCCTCCAACTGTCCTTGCCTGCCCCTCTCAGTTGTCTCATCCTCCTCCGGACCCCGTCAGTCCGCCTCTGGTCTGTTCTCTCGCTCCCTTCCCTCTCTCCTTACTAAGTTTACCCATGCCCCCTAACCCTGATTTTGCCGACCCTGCTCCTGACCCTGATCCTGAGATTCTTTAATAAACTGTGTTCCTCTTTACCTTTATTTCTTTCTTGTTCTCTGTTACTGTCCTTTCTCTTTGATAATGTCTATTCTTCAGTGGAATATTCGTGGATTTTATGCCAACTTCCATGAACTCCAACTTCTAATTACACAGTTTACACCACTTTGTGTTTGTCTCCAGGAACCAAACAGTTCCTGGAGACAAACTGTTTGTTTGCCAGTTTGTCAAACTGACAAACAAAGTTTGTCAAACTGACAAACAAAGTTTGTCAGCTCTTGCTGGGGCCCATAACTCTACTGCTCTCTTAATTCGTTCTGATATTCCCTTCGTCCCCCTACTTCTTCCGTCCCCTATCCATTGTTCTGCTGCCCGTGTTTTTGTGGGTAAATGGTATACAGTCTGTTCCATTTATCCCCCTCCAAATGTCCTTCTTTCCCTTCCTGATCTTAAGCACCTCCTAGACTCCTTGCCGGAGCCGGTGCTCCTTTTGGGTGATTTCAACTGTCGACATTCCCTCTGGACTGATGTTCTGACAAACACCCAAGGCCATCTTCTCGAACCGTTCGTCCTCGCTTCTTCTCTATCTCTTCTGAATTCTGGTGAGCCCACTCATGTGGACTCTCGCACTCGCACCCTTTCCTGTCTTGATCTTTCTCTCTGCTCGTCGTCCCTTTACTTAGATTTCACGTGGCGTGTTCTTGAGGACCTCCATAACAGTGATCATTTCCCCATCCTCGTTTCCTTTTTCTCTTTTTCACCCTCCCCTTTCCTTCCCTAGGTGGCAGTTTGCCAAGGCTGACTGCCCTCCAAACACACACCGAAACTACGACGTTGGTACAACGTTCGAACAAGTTTTAACACCTCCTAACCAGTTATAACAACCAATATAGCAAGTTGTAACAACGTTCTAATACGGAGGACGGACGGACGGGCTGCTCCTTCTCAATTTGGTTTTCGCAAGTGCCGCAGCACGACTGATGTCCTGGTGAACTTGGTCTATATTCGTAACCCTTTTGCTGCGAAGACCTCCGTTGTTGCTGTCCTTTTTGACCTGGAAAAGGCTTATGACACGACTTGGAGATACCATATTCTGTCCCAACTTCGTTCTTTTGGCCTTCGTGGTAATCTCCCCCTCTTCCTTCAAAGCTTTCTCTCTCGTTGTACCTTTCGAGTCAGGCTTGGTGCCACTCTCTCTGCTTCTTTTCGGCAGTACTTCTCTGACCCGCATCACTAAAGTTTATACCCCTCCTACAGTTCTGAAACGCCTCTTCCTTGAGCACTTTTCTTCTCACTCCCACTCCGTTCCTATCTTCACCGATGGGACTAAGTCTGCTGACGGTGTGGGCTACTCTGTTGTTTTTCCTGACCACACTTATATGTGTCACCTTCCTCTGGAGGCTAGCATCTTCACAGCAGAACTTAATGCTATTCTCTATGCTCTTCGTCTCCTGCTTTCCCGGTGTCAATCCTCCTTTGTGGTAGTAGTTGACTCTCGTAGTGCCCTCATGGCGTTAGGGTCCTTTAATCCGGTCCACTCGGTGGTGGTTGTCGAGATTCAACATTGGGTGTTTCTTATCTCCAGTAAATTTAAGTCGGTTGCATTTTGCTGGGTTCCCAGCCATGTTGGTGTCTCTTTAAATGAGCGTGCGGATACTGCCGCTAAGGAAGCTATCCGCACTTGTCCCATCTCCCATAAAAGTATTCCTTATTCCGACTTTTACCCAGTTATTCATGCCTCCATCCTTGCCCGCTGGCAGAGTTGTTGGTCTTCTGTTATTGGTAACAAACTGCGTACTCTTAAGAGTCGTGTGTCCCAGTGGCCTTCCTCCTGCCACCGTAACCGGTGGTGAGAAACGGCTCTGGCTAGGTTATGTATTGGCCATACCCGTTTAGCTCACGGTCACTTAATGGAGCGCCGCCCTGCTCCTTATTGTCCACATTGCATTGTCCCTCTTATGGTCGTGCATATCCTGACTTCCAGGACGAGCGTGTGTCTATAGTTTTCCGACCGTCCTCTGCAGTCGCTTGTCCCTCGATAGAATTCTTGGTGACTCGGATACTTTTGATATCATTTGCCTTATGCATTTCTGTTCTCGTATTGGCATCCTTGGTGATATTTAGTGCCCTCTGATTATCCCGCACATTTGATGGTGCTACATAGCCTTCCCGTTTTGGTGCCTTCTATTGATAATTAATTACTTACTTGTTTTCCGGCCATCCCCCGCGGTCGCTTGTCCCTCGATAGAATTCTTGGTGACTCTTGATACTTTTGATATCGTTTGCCTTGTGCGTTTTTGTTCTCGTATTGGCATCCTTGGTGATATTTAGCGCCCCCTGATTATCCTGCACATCTGATGGTGCTACATAGCCTTCCTGATTTGGTGCCTTCTATTGATAATTACTTACATAGCCAGAGAACCTGACTTTGTTTTAAGAGAGGATTATATTTATTTAATAATTTACTTTTTCAATCCAATGTACCTTCTTGTTTATATATAAATACAAAAATATATAAAACATGAATCTTCACATGTTTAAGATTCGCACAATCTGAATATCATTCAGCTTTATCATCTGAATGCTCCAAGCTGTGCCTCTTCATATTTCGAGGATGGCTGAAGCTGGAGACTTGTAACGTCAATCACCCCTTACCTTTAAAGAATGCAATAAATCGATCAGACCTTACCTTTAAAGAACACAATAAATTAGCTGTCACAACTGCAAGAAAAATAACAGGTTGGATAACAAGAACCTTTCACACTAGAAATGCTAAACTGATGATGATACTTTTCAAGACGCTATTGCTCTCTAGAGTGGAGTACTGCTGCACAATGACAGCCCCTTTCAAAGCTGGAGAAATTACTGACCTGGAGAACGTGCAGAGATCCTTTACTGCTAGAATCTACTTGGTAAAACATCTAAGCTATTGGGACCGACTAAAGAGCCTAAATCTGTATTCTCTTGAACGCAGGCGGGAGAGATACATAATAATTTACACTTGGAAAATAGTAGAGGGGCTGGTCCCAAACCCGGCACCATACTAGGTTGCTTTGCAACCCAGTATGGTGCAAAGCATCAAGACGGCGAAGAGAAGGAGAAGCAGGGCAACCATAATCGAGCTTAGACAGGAATATAAAGCAAGGAGAGTGTGCGTATCCACTCCCCAAGAAGTATGGGACAATACCCGAAGGAGGGTAAGGGCCTCGGAGCACTCAACACGGAGGTAAGAGATATGGGGAGACCAAGACAAACAAGTGTCAAGGAATAACCCCAAAAGCTTTGCAGAATCTTTGTACTCAAGGGGATGACCATAAAGTGACAAAGAGGGACGAAGAACAACCCGTTTCCGAGTAAGTCATGGCACAAGTCTTAGTAGTAGAGAACTTGAAGCCATGATTGGTGGCCCAAGGCGACATGGCATCAATCGCAAGTTGAAGCCGGCGTTGAAGGAGAGGCGAATCATTACCCTGACAGCAAAGGGTAAGATCATTGACATAAATGCCAAGATAATAATACTCCACTTCAAAATTCAATTAGTAGCCCTTGGGTAAATTTAGGTAAATATAACTTGATATACAGCTATGTATGATATCAATTATTTAATCACATATACAATAGTTACACTTGAGTAAATGGAATTTCATAAAAAGTTCAGAGTAAATATACAAAATTATCAAAAATTTACACAAATTTAGTGACAATTAAACATAAATATTGCAAACACAATTTTCATTTAATAATCAAAATTGTGCATGTGAACTATTTAAATCAGTATGAAAAGGATGATCTAACAATGTATAAAGAAAACAATTTCAAAATATATATAAAACACAACAGGTTTCCTCAAAAATGAGGAGAGGCGCTGGGTGGAAGTCTCGGTTAACACTCTTCAACGCACAAGAGTCGTCTATATACACGTTACTGAAGATCGGAAGGATTCCCTTATGTTATTCTCAGACTTCCTCCCTGTCATGAGTAGTAGAACATTTAAGAAACTGATGAATATTTTTTAGAACCTTATTTGGTAGTCTTCGATGATAATATATAAAGCATGGTTTAGGTAATATTAATAAGATATTTCCCTCAATAATGAGCCATTTCAGGTTGTGAGAAAAGTTGTCAGAAATAATGGTCTAGGAAGTAATGGCATGATGCCCCATTTCACTGTTCACATCTGCTGTCAGAGTAAATGACCTGAATTCACTTCATAACACTTACTTTTGTTACAGAGTAACAGTTGGGGAGATTTGAGGGGAAAAATCTTCCCACCGCATTTGAAACAATTCAGACTCTATAGATGAAGGTGCTGCTGTAATTCTAATATCTCACATAAAATGAATAATTCATTCAAGTACATTTCTTTGACAGTGTCAACCCAAGGCATGCTCAAGTGCGACTGTCTCAGAGGTGTGATGTCAGACATCATTCATACAATCGTCATCTCATTTATGTACAATGAAGGCTGGCCAATATGGCTGCCAAAGGGGGCACAATATTTAAAACTAAGAGATATTCTAATCAAATCGTTATGATCAGAGTCGGAGAACAATTTAGCAGGATGAACAGTTAAGTACAAGTTATTCCATTTGCTTTTAAGAAAACATTTTATCTAATGAATAGCTAAGTAAACGTTATTTCAGTTACACTCGAAAATATTAATTAAAGAGACAGTGTTCTTCAGCAAGAAACCTGAAAGTATACATCACCTTTGCATGTATAGAATAACAGTATTAAAATCAAATAACCCAGAAGGAGCCTAAGCACACTGAAAGATTTAGTTCACTGAGAAGTCATATCCTCTTAATCACTTGATGACTGAAGTAATGTCAAACGCTTGTGATGGCTTTCACAAAGTTCCCTCAACTGGATTTAACATGAGCATAGGTCAATCCAGTTCAGGGAAGTAAATATAATTCTACCTACAATGTGACAACACTGAGTAATGTAAGCCTATTTTCTTTATGCTTTCAAGGCTCATTTTCCTTCTTACAGCACAGAAAATAAGACTTGCTGAGTACTAGAAGGTCATAACAGGTCATTGGGTCACTGGTGAACTGTGGTCAAGTTACTGGTGCAAGCTCATAAAACAAGTTCTTGTGCAATGATCCCCTCTTATACTGCTCTTCTTACCCCCACACACCACATTTTTCAAGTCAGTTTAATTTTCAATGGGAAAATCAGACAGACAAGAACATGAGCAAATGTTGTGACATTTCTCATCATAATGAAGCCTTTTGGGAAGGTCAGTTCATCATAGCCATGGCATTCTAAGCACCATCTCTGGAGTAGGGATCCCAGAGCCCCACTTTATGCCCAAGAGATGCCTGGAAGAGCTGCCTCAGTCCCACTCCCCTACATACATGGTGCGTGGGTGGGGTAATGGGGGTGGTAAGTAGCCCCTGTTTGGCAAGGGCAGACGACCATAGATGTGGGAGTAGGCGGACTCAGTGAAGTCGGAGTCTGCAAGGTAAAAAACAAAAAAACAAAAATTATAGAATCATTTAATTTAGAAAAAGATGCTATGCCTTAAATAATACTTAGATGTTTAGGGATGCCATTAATTTCAAGAAAGATTAGTCAGCTAGCATTATTAAGGAAGTTCCCAAGTATATATCAGTATAATATATATATATATATATATATATATATATATATATATATATATATATATATATATATATGTCGTACCTAGTAGCCAGAACTCACTTTTTGGCCTACTATTCAAGGCCCGATTTGCCTAATAAGCCAAGTTTTCCTGAATTAATATATTTTTTCTATTTTTTTTCTTATGAAATGATAAAGCTACCCATTTCAATATGTATGAGGTCATTTTTTTTTTATTGGAGTTAAAATTAACGTAGATATATGACCGAACCTAACCAACCCTACCTAACCTAACCTAACCTATCTTTCTAGGTTAGGTTTGGTTAGGTAGCCGAAAAAGTTAGGTTAGGTTAGGTTAGGTAGGTTAGGTAGTCGAAAAACAATTAATTAATGAAAACTTGGCTTATTAGGCAAATCGGGCCTTGCATAGTAGGCTGAGAAGTGCGTTCTGGCTATTAGGTACGACATATATATATATATATATATATATATATATATATATATATATAATTACCGGTTGTGCATGTAGTAGCCTGCTAAAGATACAAAGAGATAATACAAAATATATAAATGTGCAAAAAATGCTGGAAAAGTAAGTGCAAATAATACAACATCCTACAGGACAATGCTGAGAATAAGAGAGCATGCACTATTCAATTGTGGATTCTAGGCTGGATGACCTGTTGGATTAGAAAAGTCTATAACTAAATACAGTGAAAGAGACGAACAGGTTTACTACAGGAGAACCCATGCACATGAGATGATTCCCAGGTGTCGTAAACAAATTGGAAATGAGTTAGGTGCTGGATTTTTAGATGAATGGGTAAGTGTAAGTATAGTATTAAATATAACCTTTTTGAAAATTTCCTTTCTCATAACAGTAATTTTTCCAAAATTTCAGAAGGAATGTCCTTTTGAATTTGCGTACCATGCACATGTAAGACGTCATTAGAACAGGACACAGGCTTATTTACAGCCACAGATTCAGAGTTGACTCCACCAGCAGTCAGTCCCCCCAAACAATCCCCACCACTATTTCACCCAAGCATATTATCCATGGTCAGTTTCACAATCTCCAACTTGGAGAAACGTTGATGGAGCTAATGCGAGCTCTCAATCAACTTGTAAAATCCAACTGGCCAGCAATAACTGGGCCCCTGAGAATGTGAAAGCGACACAAGGATTCACGATGATAGAGACTCAAACGAAAGTCTACCCCAGGGTGTGGGACGGGAGGACCTTACCTAAGAGCCTCGGGATGGTTGTCTTACGCTTCCACTGTTTTGATTTACTGTCAGTTCATGAGTCCCAGTAGGATTCCCATTCAGTTTCTAGGAGAGAGCGTAAGGATCCGTTAATGAACTGAATGATGTAGATGATCGTAAACATCGTCCAGAGTCAAGTAACGGAACAGTCCTTATCAAAACCTTTGTAAATTTTTTTGAACTGTATAATTAAAATAAGAGTTATTACTCTAAACATTCTCTTTCTTTTAATTGTCAATTGTAAACTTTATTTACCTAAAAATTTAGGTAGAGCCTTAGTATTGCAGTGCCATTTTCAAGCCTGTGTGTTGTAATTTTCAATATTAAGAGATGCCCTACAAGTCCTAGACTGGTGACATTTAGAGAACAACTTCTAAAATATAAATGATGAAGCCTTATACTTTTGTATTGTTTTTATTCATTATTAAATAACTATTATTAGGTTTTGTCTCCTTCACCAGTTAAGATATACAAAGACTTGAGGAACAATGAAGGCAATGTAAGTCATTTGTCAAAAAGTTTTTCATGTGTAAATACCATCTATGGGGTATTTTGTAAGAGTAAAAACTGTTGCAATTTGCCAGGAAATATTTTGTAGAACTGACTACAGTATAAGGATTTTGAAATTGCATTTTTTTATGCTTGTGACATGATGCAGGCACTTTACCAGGAGCTTGGGTGGAAAGGCTATTCACCATTTCAAGCTGGATCATCCTGTCGTCAGAATCTTGAAAATTCCAAAACATCCTCAACACGAAGAACACGTTTGTAATTTTAGAACTTCACCTGCTAAGTAATATTTTGTGGTGCCTTTCTTTTTAAATCATACCATAAAAAGGCTAGTAAGAAGGTAATTTAAGGTCTTAATGCAGAAATCTGTTGATATAAGATTACAGTATATCACTATAATATATGAACAGTGTGAAAATGAGTTACTGTACTCCCAAAGTTTTGTAATTTATAGTCAATTGGTCATGAACTGTCTTGTGACTGGTATACAAAAAATTATTTTCTCATCCTAGTAAAAATATTTGTAATGTTATTTAAAAGGCATTATGAAGCAGCCAGTTCATTAATGTTGAAGTTGCTTAACTTTTATGGCAAGCCTTAGTTATACTGGATAACACTGTACTTGATGTGAACCACAGCCATGCTCGAATTACGAGATGTGCTTGAAGCTCTGAATAGAAGGTATTGTACAATATATGGATTACTTGTCGAAGTGTCTAATGTCGAAACATGCACAAGTTGTGGATATAACTACGGAAGGAATCTGATAGAAATCGAAGGCTAGGGTGACATACGTGCTGACACTCGCCTCACTCCATGCCGATTTTATTTAACACTTAGTAGCCAAGGTCAGATACATCATGCATGAGACAATTTTTTATCCATGTGAAAGTTAATGTAAAATCATTATGAATAAAGAAAATTACAACCATATTGTATATCACAATGTCATTTTAAAAATAGAGGAAGATATGGCACTATTGAAGGAAAGGCATTCAAAGAGTTGCAGTTGGTTTGCTCCGGACCACTCACCATTCCTGACTGGTATTGATGGCACCCACGAGCAGGGGTTCCGCTCTAGTCTGTGAATATTTTGCACTTGATTCTGTTGCAAAAGAGCTAGAAAAGACAAAAAAAGAACAAACATGCTTAGAGAGGTGCTAGATGAAGCGCAGTGTTCCCTGGCTTCTACAACCCCCATCATCAACAGTGTGAGGTGATATTAAGGACTACATTCAAGAGATGGATTAAGGTCAACTGATTTTTACAGTTCATTGTGATTCTTGTGTGCTCATGTACAAATATACTTTTTATATTTTCTGTAAATTCAAGACTAGAGTGCATAAAAGCTCTATGCAGTGAGAGCAAACACAACCCACAATATCAAATTGAGTCCACCATTAACATGACGGTCAAGTGAGAGGCATCTCCTGAAATGTGACCTTTAAACCACCTTGCTTTTACCATGAGCCAGAGAGAAAGGGAGAGGAGGTAAAATCTAGCCCATGACTCTGGAATACCAACTTGGTAAAGAATATTTAAATATTTTAATAAATTATTTATCTAACACCACTCAATGTTCTCCAATGAACTGTGAACTCAAGTGGCATTGCAGAGTCTTATCTACAGAGTAATGAAAACATAAAATAGCAAATGAAGCTAGGTCAGATCAAAGTTCTTGTGAATAAGAACGAGAAAGCATTATTCACATTCCCATGAGCATTGTCATGTTTTCTATCTCCATGATTGGTATGACTCACATACCAACTAGTGACATGACTTGCATCCCAAGTGATATGAATCGTATACCCTCAGAAACACATCTTACACCCTCTCTGGTGACATGGCTCTCATTCCCATAAGGTAGTCATGAACTGCATCCTTACACTCAACATATTATGCTTTGATTAAAGGTAATGCTACGAAGAACCACACAACATATCTACTGAATATGTGTGGTATATTTTATAAACTCATCAGTAATGAACTCATTACGTAGCTGTTGTACAGCATTAGTACATGAGCCCGAGATAATAATATAAATAATTACATAATGAACAACACAAATCTTCATGACATTACCAAGATTTATAATTATAACTGTAGAACCCCAAAATACTAACTTTCAACAAATGCTTTTTTGAATTAAATGTTTATGCAGCTGCTTTAATCACTACTCAAGCTCAATGTTGCTAAATTTTTGTGTCACATAACAATATGATTTTAGTTTTTATGTTAAGCATGAACACATCTAACTTCCCATCACTCCAAACACTTGTATAGCAGTATTCTGATTGTCTATGATACACTTAACAAGAAAACAAAAGCCACGAGTAGAATACATTAAAACCTGGGGAGATGTGTTGTCATGCAGTCATGAGATCAGTCATGCAGTACAGCATACCAAAGCATAAAGTCTTAAGTCACCAGTCAGAAAATAAGAACATTACCAAAAAATTCATTTGTCAGAAATATCACACAAACATTTTATGTGGTCTCAAAATGAATTTTCTTATAAAATACGGTAATTTTGCCAAACTGAACTTTTGAAACGCAAATGTATTTATTTCATTTACAGATATTCTACTACTAAACAAGAAACTTTTTTTATTACAGCATTTAAGACTTCATATTGAAACGACACAAATGTTGGTATTGGTCCATCCAAAGATGATATAGTTGTCTTACCCTTGTGTTTACCTCGCAGTGCAAGGTGAAGGGGTCGCTGAGACTCAGTAATGGGTGAAGGTCATTGTCAGGGTGGAAGCCACCAAGGACAGGACATTGTCAGGGTGGAAGCCACCAAGGACAGGACATTGTCAGGGTGGAAGCCACCAAGGACAGGACATTGTGCAGAAGAGGGGGGAGGGTGTTGTACAAAAATGTTTAATTGTGGTTACTGTATAAATAAAAAATGGCTTAAGGGAGAACAGGGACAGTGGTGGAATGTTAAAGGAGAATATGCTCAAAAGGTATGCAGAATACAATGTGTACAAGTCAGAATGGACTGAGGAATTAAATATGGTAATGAAGGTGCTGTGTACAGTACAGTACAGTAAAAGAATGTATAATTAATAATATGCAAATGTTCAAGAACTATTCATCATCCTCTGACATTACAGATGCATCATTATTCCACATGGATGTTGATTGAGGTGAGGGAGAGGAAGAGTCAGTGTGTGGAAGTATGGGCTGGGATATCCACCATGGTATTGGAGATGAGTTTGGGAGAGGCATATATATGGGTGATGGTGAGAGGGAGGACGAAGGATATGGATGAGGTTGTCGCTGGCTGGAATTCTGTTGTCGAAGGTGATTTTGGGGGCGTCGCAGGTTGTTGTGCAGGTGAGGGGGTGGGGGGGTGGGGGTCTTACCCATGCCCGAATCGAAGCTGCGAGTGTGCCACATAGGATGGGCAGGAATAGGTGGCCCGTTAGGGTACTGGGCACGGCCAGGCTCTTGCTTATCCTTTGACTTGGACATAGCGAAGTTGGGGATGCGAGCGCGGAGGCCACAGTAGTATGGATCATCTGCATAACAGAGCAATAATTAGATGATTAAGTCACACAGAAGAAGAGACTAGAAAAATTAAATGTTATGGCATATGCTTGATAATTTTTATGATAAAATACTTTGCAATAGCCATGAGCTAATATTACTGTGTTCCATGGAGTATACAAAATGAGCACTGTGTTCCATGGGGTATACAAAATGAGCATCATGTTCCATGGAGTATACAAAATGAACACTGTGTTCCATGGTGTATACAAAATGAACACTGTGTTCCATGGGGTATACAAAATAAGCATCATGTTCCATGGAGTATACAAAATGAACACCATGTTCCATAGAGTATACAAAATGAACACTGTGTTCCATGGGGTATACAAAGTGAGCACTTATTTTCTCAGAAGAAACACACTACTGTGAAACAATGCACGAGACAGCTCAGCTTCAGAAAGCAAGCTGAAGCGGCTCCGCCAGCGCCGCACGATACGAAGCGACAGTGTTAGGCATAAGATGACGGTCCTGAAACAACCACGAGAGGAAGGACAAGACCACCCGAACAGACAAGGAACTAACACGACGAAGACGCAAAAAGAAACAGAAGGACCGCCAGGAAACTGCATACTGCCGCCGAGAAGAAGCCCTCAGGTGGGACACCAACAAGGAGGCCACCTGATCACCATAGAGATGATGATAGACTCGAGTCAAAAAAACCATACGCGAAGACTCGAGGAGAAGATCGAACCAGCCACGTGACGTACCGGCCCAATCTGCTGAAAGAGGCAGAGCCGCGGGTAAACCCTCGGGTTCGGACACCGAGCAACCAGCGCCTGAAACCAAGGCTGGGCCGGACACCAAGGGGCCAGAAGGACAACTCTCCCCTGGCAAGTCTCCAAGCGAGTCAGGACCTGGAGCAACAGCCGAACTGGAGGAAAGAGGTACATGTACCCCCACCTCGACCAGTCTAGCCGAAAGGCATCGACCCCGACGGCCTCGCGATCGGGGAAGGGCGCCGCATAAACGGGAAGACGCCGCGACCACGCTGACACGAAGAGGTCCACCTCGGGGCGCCCGAACATCTGGCAATGCCAACGGAAGGACTCGTCGTCGACCGTCCACTCCGTCGAGAGGGGAACGAAGCGAGACAGGGTGTCGGCCAAGACGTTGGACACGCCCCGTATGTGAACCGCCAGGACAGCCAAACCCCGAGAACTCAGCAGACGAGTCACCCAAAGCGACCAACCCCAAAGAGACAAGGACCGCATCGAACCCCCGCGGTTCAAGCAATGAACCACCTGAGAGCACTCCGAATGGAGCCGAATCGTCGATCCGCGGGCCACCCGAATCCTCCCCAGATAATGTAGAAGAAAAACTGATGATTTTTAACCCATAGGGCAATAAATCCATGGATTAGCCTACCTGCCAAAGCCATATAATAAATACAAAGACAAAACTCCAGTTAAGAATTCAGTTTAAACAAAAAAAAAAGCATTGCTGAATATAATGGGTATTTGCTTAATTTGTTATCAACTGATTCTAAAAAATAATTGAGAAAAATTAGAGCCTGAAGAATGGAGGGACTTGACACCGGGTATGTTCTCCCTCAAGGTCACTAGTGGTGGAGGCCCACATACACTAAATAATGTTGTTAATAATGAACTAAAAAAAGTCCACTTATGGATGTCAACCAACAAACTAACACTTAACATAGAAAAGACCTACTACATCTTATTTGGAAGCAAATCTACAAATGCAATTCAGCTTCAGATAGACAATGTAAACATTAGCAATAAAAATGATGGAAAGTTTCTTGGCCTATTCCTAGACAAGAGACTCAACTTCAGTACCCACATACAACACATAACTAAGAAAGTCTCGAAAACAGTTGGTATACTCTCCAAAATCAAATATGTACCTAACTCTGCTCTCATCTCTCTATATTATGCACTAATCTATCTCTATCTTTATTATGGTATCTGTGCATGGGGTTCAACCACTGCAAACCACCTCAAGTCCATCATTACCCAGCAAAAATCTGCTATCAGAATAATAACAAATTCTGCTTTCAGACAACACTCAGCTCCCTTGTTTAACTCCCTAAAAATGCTAAACATAATCTCACTCCACAAATTCTCTTGTGTCAACTACATTTACAAAACCCTGTTCTTAAATGCAAACCATGCTCTGAAACTCTCCCTGGACAGATGTAATAGGACCCATTATCACCACACCAGAAATAAATATCTCTTTGATATCCCCAGAGTCAAACTTAATTTGTGTAAACACACTATGCAAATAAAGGGACCCAGTCTATGGAACTCACTTCCTATTGAATTGAAAAGCTGTCCAACTTTTGCATCATTCAAAAACAATACTAAAAAGTACCTAATTTCATCTTCATAGTTTTTTACCTTTTGCTTTAAAACTGCACTGTATCTATTGCTACCCAATCTCCCAATCTTTATGTACCCAATCTGAACATCTTTATCATTGCGATCATTGCTGTCTTCTTATATGTACTGTCAATCTGCTGTATGGTGTCTATTAATCTTGTTTAAATTACCAATCAAGCTGTCAATGTAATCAATCAGAGCTTTAATATACCAATGTGCTTTAATATACTTACTAATCTCTCTCATCTAATTTTGTTTTTCTTGCAATGTATTTGTCATCATTTTATTAATTCTGATAGAATTTACTTACTTAAAATTATCTGTTAGATTAAGGACCTGCCCGAAACGCTGCACATACTAGTGGCTTTACAAGAGTGCAATTACTGTACTATGCTATGTATTCTCACAAACCCAATGTACCTTCTTGTATATAAATAAATAAATAAATAAATAAAGGTGAGGATCTACCGTCTAACTGAAACATTTGGCACTATAGAAAATATCTTCAGCAGCCATGTCTAACAGCCTGGTTGACCAGACCACTAACCAGGCCTGGTCAGAGAATGGGCCGTGGAGACACTGATCTTCGGAACAAGGTAAACAACACGACAAGCCCACTCAAATGAGGAACATTGGTAATTACTAAGAGTTTTGTAGATTTACATTTTCCATAATTTTTCTACAGGTAAATTGGTACTTTATTGGCTGTCACTTTTGACCCTGAGAAATTGTGTGAAATTGCCTGGAAATACACTGACTCAGTTACGTTTTTCCATTTCATTTTGCCAAAATAACATTAATCAAATCAAATCAAATGTTTATTTAGGTAAGGTACATACATACAAGAGATTTTACAAAGAGTGATGGATTTATAGATAGGGCTAGTACATACAATGCCTAAAGTCACTATTACGCAAAGCGTTTTGGGCATGAAAAACTTAAATGACTAAAGCTTAATACTAATTGAGCATAAAGGGTAAAATGAAAACATGGCTGAAAAAGCAGCACAAATACAATTCTGTCGACAAACAGCGCTCTTTAAAAAAAAAATTGTTCCATAAAGCAAAGTGTGAAGTATGTACTTTACTCTTCATAATTGCCTTCTCCCACCTGTGGTTTATTCCACAATTTATGTTGACCTCACTACTGTATTGTTGTTGTGGTACCATTTTGACCCTTATTTAGCAGTGGCTGTAATTTGCAATCAAAAGTGTCTTGTCCTGGCTACCAATTATGGCTAAAGTTCTGTTATAAAAACTTGTGCAGTGACTTTACTACGAAACATAATGTCCACCATCTGTCCTTAACCATTTAAGAAAGTTAACTGGTACAATATATAAACATAATGCAAAAGTCTCAGTATTGATGTTTGGTAAATGCCTGCATTTACCAAACGTTTCATGTTCATTACTTGCTCATTAAATGCACCAAGGCCTTGACTTTACTCAAGCTAAGATGCAGATAGATGCTCATTAAGAAAATTATAAATATTTCACTCAATTATGTCCTGAATGAATGCTAAAGCATGTACAGTACTGTATTTATCCCATCTGTGTCTACAGTATTACATAAATTTTCCATTTATATGAATTCATTCATAAATTTCAGTATCCATTCCAATGAGCAAAAATTAGTGTTGATATCTCTTACTATTATAATGGCTCACTGTTTGAATGCTGGGTATTATATCTTCCATGACCATGATATTAGCATGTATGAATTTGCCACACGTTTCTTATTCTCAACAAGGGCACTCAAGATGGTGACATATCTCTATACAGTACATCTGAACACACATGTTCAGATGTGTGGTTGTAGCAAAGTGGTAACACACTTGCCTGGCATTTTGCGAGCGCTTTGACCTGAGTACGTATCCTGGCTGGGGAGGATTGACTGGGCATCAATCCTTAACTGTAGCCTCTATTCACCCAGCAGTGAATGGGTACCCGACTGTTAAATGATTCGACGGGTCATATTCTAGGGAAAATTAGGATTAAGGACTTGCCCGAAATGCTATGCATACTAGTAGCTCTACAAGAATGTAAGAACTGTTGTATAAATAAATATATAAAATAAAAAATTAAAAAGATGCTGTTGATGGTAGGGGGGCATGACAGCTGATTGGACAGCGCTTGGGATTCGTGGTCCTAAGATTCCAGGTTCGATCCCCAGTGGCGGCAGAAACAAATGGGCAATTTCTTTCACCCTGATGCTCCTGTTCACCTAGCAGTAAATAGGTACCTGGGATTTATAGACAGCTGCTATGGGCTGCTTCTTGGGGATGTGTAACAAAAAGGAGGCCTGGTCGAGGAACGGGCCGCGGGGACGCTAAGCCCCGAAATCCTCTCAAGATAACCTCAAGATGGTGAAGCATTTAGGCACCATTCAAGACACGTGCCACAGACTTTCACCCAGAGTGTTGATAATATTAACCTTGCAATGCATAAAATAGCAATGTTAATAAATTAGCTCATGCCAGATAGCTAGATATTATACTAATTACTAAGCACGCTGTTTGTATTATTGTAGAACAACTTACCATACTTGCGATCCTTTGTCTTATTATTATTGTTGTTGCGAGCATGAAGTTTACGGAAGGCGTTTTCATCCAAGGCATCGTAGTCAGACTGATAAAACCATAAAGTTATACTCATTACTTTCAATATCAATGCATATCGAGAAAATTTATGATAAATGTATAAACAAAATAAAATTATTCTAAATACCTGTAAGTATAAATCAAATAATTTAAATTTAAATTAAAGAAATTTACTTTTTGTGAAGTACTTTTATAACAAAAGTTAATGTTGTACTTTGACAAAAAATTGTACACGCAATATTTCTGCCCATCCACCAGGGCAGTAACACCATGGATATCATTTGAAAATACCTCCAGTTTGGAGGAGAGAGCACAGCATGTTGGACTACAGAGAATAGGAGAAATTGTTGATTGAAAATCAAGGAGAGTTTTGAGGTCAACAAATTTGTATAGACCTTATATTTGCATTTTAAGAGAGACTAAGGTATTCATGGGCCACTATAGAGCAGATGAAAATAGTATACAATGAACAGAGAAAAGCCGTGAAAGATGTTGAGATTGTCTGATGTTGATGAATTTGTTAAATACAATAAAAAACAGTTATGAAGGAAGCAGAGGTTGTGTAAGAGTGAGTGTCAGGTATGATATAAATGCATTACTTGATTGTGTAATGTTTCTGTGGCTGCAGAATATATATACATTACAGTACAGAGTAATCAGAGAAGCCAAGGCAAAAGTATTGGTAATGGTTGTGAACTTAGTGAATTTCTTAGAAATTTTCCTAACATCATATGTCTTGCATGGGAATAGAACTTGGATTATAGTGCTGCCCTCTGTGCTACACAAGCATTTCTCTTTACCCACTCAACTGCCCTACAACTCACATGTCTGGCATGCAATAACATGCATACATTTCTCCATTGTACTTATTCCTTCCTCTCTAACTGTGGCACATATATTGTTTAACTAGTTATATCAGTGACTTGAATATCTGATTTGTCTGTCTTGTCTCATCTATTTCACTCCCAGAGATGAGAAGAGCACACTGTAATGCAATCTTTCTTAACATCCATATAACTTTTCTACCTTTTGCAAGCCTTCTGGGGGATCCAATGTTGTTTTTCCTTGCACAATACTCTCCCTTATTCATTTCTGTTCACTTATGTTTGCATAGTACTTCCTCTTATACATTTTTCCACTACAAATTTGACAGCAAATGTCTGATCAACACATCCACTAGAATACCATTCCTGAATCCCAGAGCATTATTCCTCATTTATATTCTAAATTTACCTGAATTCTGCTCAACAGAATTGATCAACACAGCCTGGTTTGATCAACCAGGCTGTGACTCATACGTCAGGCTGCGAGCAGCCGCGTCTAACAGCCTGGTTGATCAGTCCAGCAACCAGGAGGCCTGGTTGACGACCGGGCCGCGGGGACGCTAAGCCCCGGAAGCACCTCAAGGTAACACTTTCCTGCCATGCAGTCAGAACACTTGCATACACCCCTCGTGGCACGACCAGCAAGTCCCTTGTGTGACTACCACCATTTAATATCTTGAGAACAATTATCCCATCCACTCATCAAATTATCACTGATTTTAGTGTGGTAATGAATGTTTTTACAGTACCAACATCTTGGGTATCCCATACATGATGTTACTGCCTGCCCCTCGTTAAATCACAGAGATCGAACAATATGGAAAAAAATGTTTTGCTCAGGGCACTTTTCTCCCTTTCTTTTGCTCAATGTTTTGGTGAGGTCAAAAAACTTTCTGAAGAGAAACACAAACATAAAATAAGCAGCACATTTCACACTAACTTCCTGAGTCAGATACAATATTTACATGCCAGTTTATTTGTTTTCTAATCACCCATAAACATCTAAAAGCTCTAATGTAAATACTTTCTGCAAACAATCATTGTATTCCTTTAATACACACCCGGAATATTTTTGCTTATCTCCCCATTTTCACTCAATATGTTCTTTACAGATCTTTTCAATCCGTCCCCCTTCCCTTTTCCTATAATGCTTACCATACTTTTGTGGTGTGTGTTCCTCCACTTGCCAGTGGAAAGCTAGCTACAGTAAAAATGATGAAATATAAAATAAAATTTGACTACCAAGAAATTGATTTTCTATTAGCTTAATTATAACCATTTTGTGTACAGGTATCTAATTTTTATACATCACCTGAATTTACAATTTATATATACTGTACTGTATTTTTTATCTACCTTTTTATAGTGGTCATAGTTGCATCACTATAATATAACTTTAACTCATTTAGAGAGCAGGACAATGTGAAAAGTGACTTACCTTGCCATTAGATCGGGGTCCAGGGTTCGGGTAGTTGGGGTTATCTCGTGGGGGTAGCTTGGGAGGCTTATCCTTACCCGAGCGGTCTTTACCCGAAGACCCGGAGGACGCACCTGAGCCTGCTACACTGTATGGGTCCTCGTCTGGGAGGGGAATACGTGGGCGGTTCCTAATGTTGGGTACTACCTTGACTGTCAGAGAGAAAATGTTAGCAAAACATTAGTATTTTGGTGTAAAGTGTATTAATCATTATAATACTGTAGTGTATGCAATATTACAACATATCTACTTGGATGTCAAGAGCAGCAACACTGATGCAAACAATACTTATTAATCTTACTAAAGTAGAAATCATGTCTTAATATACATTCAATTGAATACCTCCTTGCTTGGCTGAGCCTTGGCAGAATTTCTATTTGCAGCAATGTTTAAAAATAACTATATATGGACAGAGCTCTATTCACATACAATAATATAAATGCTGAAGTCTAATAAGCAGCTTTTACAATGTTATCAAGCCTGGTGTGGCTAATGTTAACTAAAATAAACAAATCCAATTCAGCATATATACAAATTTAGCATAGATGTTGAAGAATCTCTGTCCCAAGATATAAGGAATTGAAAATTATTGTACAGTATATTGTGGCTATTCCTGTTCATATGTTTATGTTATGGTACTTTTTTAATTTTAAACTTGAAAGTACAGGAGTAGATGATGTGATTTGTTAGCCAGCTTAGAGCTCTCCTTTTACAAAGCTCATCTTAGGCTTTACTCTATTAGTTTTCTCTGGAGCACACACTGGTGCACACAAACCATTTGCAGGAATGGTTTACTTGGTTTACAACCAAGTCCAAAATTACTGCTGGGTGAACAAGTGCAAATAGCTAAGGTTGGTGCACAACCATTCTTCCTTGCTCAGAGCTTGAACTCAGACCAATACCACTATGGCTACTAGGGATAGTGGCTATTTGGTAAATTAACTAATACAGACATTTACAGTTTTGCACTATGAGTTATCCCACTATCTATTTCCTCATTGTGTGTATTATTACAAGAGTTTTGTAATTACCTGGAGGGAATTTACTCTTGAGCATGTCCATAGCCACAATATTGATGATCATAACCCAGATGGGACAGTCAAGGAGGTCTGGTTCATTCTTTACAAAGGCCATTACACACACACACTGAGTCTCCAGTTTGGAGCGGTCTGGGTACTGCCGGCGCATCTCTCTCTTCACATTCTGCTGGAACTTGTTCATGTCGAATAGCTGCAAGTAAAGATGGAACTTAATTGTATTAAGTTTTACATATAGGTATAGAAAGATGAGTTGTGGTGCAGAGTAGGATGAAGGTTGAGAATGTGATTTATTGGTGAAGATGCCAATAAGTTTAAAACTAAATACTGTATAATAAATTAATTTTAAATTACAGTATGCTCAAAATGCTATTCATAATTAGTGACTTGACATAATATACAATTATTATTGTACCTACCACTAATATGTTCCTTTGTATATTTTATAAACAAAATATTATTATTATACAATGATGGGTTTGAGTGATATTGTAAGAGAAGAGAACATGCAGAGCAGATAGAAGCTCTGAGACCTGCAGGATAACAAAGGTATGAAAAGTATACTGTTGAGATGAAAGTGTGAGGGAGGAGGAAGCATATACTCTATTGTATATAATTAAATTCATTGTGTCGGGGGACAGGAAGCCAGAGTGTACACGTTTTGGCTTTTATCGAGGTCCCCCTTTTTATATTAATGGTGTACGTGTTATTTTTTTTTTTTTTATTCATTTATATATACAAGAAGGTACATTGGGTTTGTGAGAGTACATAGCATTGATGTTTTTACATTCTGGCAAAGCCACTAACATGCATAGCATTTCGGGCAGGTCCTTAATTTAAAAGATAATTTGAAGTACAGTATTTATTTTGTAGTAAAATGTAAAGAATATTAATAGGTATATTGCAGCAAAATTTGAGGATTATCAACAGGTGCATTGTAGCATAATTTGAGGACTATTAATAGGTACATTACAGCAAAATATTTGCATTCAACATAACAACTATGATATAAGTTGATTGCAGTGATTACAATGGTAAAGTTGCATGTCTTAGGCACTCACACATTGGCGGAGTGGGTAGCACAAGACATAATACAAGTTTAAGGCACAAGGTAGGAAACTAGGAGGATGAAATTAGGTACTTTTTGGGTTTACTTTTGAATAAGGCATAGGTTGGACAGCTTTTTAATTCATTAGGGAGTGAGTTCCACAGACCAGGTCCCTTTATTTGCATAGAGTGTTTACACAGATTTAGTTTGACTCTGGGGATATCAAACTGATATTTATTTCTGGTGTAGTGATTATGGGTGTTGTTATATCTGTCAAAGAAGAGTTTCAGAATAAGGTTTAGTACATGTAAATGGCACAAGCGAATGTATGAAGTTACTTTATGTTTAGCATGTTTAGGGATTTAAGCAGAAGGGCTGTGTGTTGCCTGAAAATAGAGTTTGTTATTGTTCTGATAGCAAGAGTTTTTCTGGGTGATGATGGGTTTGAGGTAATTTGCAGTTGTTGAACCCCAAGCACAGATACCGTATGCAAGATAGGGACAGGTTAGCGATTAGATTAACGAAAGGAGAGCAGAGTAAGAAACATAATATCTTTTGAGATTTTTTTGGCTATGTGTTGTATGTGGGTGCTGAAGTTGAGTCTCTTATCAATGTATAGGCCAAGGAATTTCCATAATTTTTACTGCTGATGTTAACATTTTCTACCTAAAGTTGAATTTCATTTGATGATTTGCTTCTATATATAATGTAGTAGTTCTTTTCTATGTTTAGTGTGAGTTTGTTGGTTGACATCCATGAGTGGACTTTTTTAATTCATTATTTACAACATTATTTAATGTGTGGGGGTTGGGGTCATAGATGAGGATAGTATCCTCATCAAATAATATAGGTTTATGAAAGAGACAATTTGGCAGATCATTTATGTATATAAGAATTAGGAGAGGTCCTAGGATGCTGCCCTGTGGCACTCATACAGTTAATGGAAGAATGAGGGGGAGGTTATTTCATTGATGGCTACATATTGGTGTCTCATTAAGATTGGATCGAATACAGTTCAGGGCAAGGCCTCAGATTCCATATTGGTGAAGTTTAAGTAAGAGGTAGTTATGGTTTACAGTATCAAAGGCCTTTCTCAGGTCAATGAAGAGGCCAATTGGGAACTCATTTTTGTCAAGGGCTGAGTAGATTATATCAAGCAGACTAATAATTACATCATTGGTACTCTTTTGAGAGCGGAAGCCAAACTGACATGGACTTAACATGTTTAATTTTGCTAGATAGGAGTAGAGCTGTTTGTAAATAATTTTTTCAAATATTTTTGATAATATAGGTAGATTAGATATTGGTCTGTACTGTAATTATTTATATCAGCCGTATCGCCTCCTTTATACATTATACAATTCGTGTTACTTTATACAGTACAGTACAGTACTAGCAGTTCTAATGGTTCCCATTGTCATGGACAGCATGCCTGTTAGATGTATCAAGGCCCCACTTGATGAATACCTTCCCCAGGATGCAATCTACAACAGCTGCCTAATGCCAAGGTGCATTTTTACTGCTAGGTTAAACAAGGCATCAGGTGTATGGAAACATGCCCAAGCATCTTGTAGCAGAGTGGTGAGCAAGACAAGTTACTATAGGTCAAACTATGTAATATTTTCACAAAGAACCTTGGTTATTAACCTGAGGGCTACTAGCCCAAGTGGTCTCGATGAGGGCATGAAGCTGGCGGCTTGTCGAAGGTCCTCCCATCTGCTTTATGATCTTTTCCAGGTATATTTTGAAATTTAGCACAGTTTTGGCAGTTATGGCTTTGGCAGGTAGGCAGTTTCATGGGTTTATAACCCTGTGGGTGAAAAAGCATCTCTTGTTCTGTCCTACATTGTGGCTTGTTGAGTTTGAAACCATTGCTCCTTGTTTGTGTTACATTTGACCTTTTGAAGAAAATATCCAGATCAACATTCTCCAACTTGTTTAGTATTTTAAAAGTCTCAAGGAGATCTGCCCTGTCATGCCTGGTTTGCAGTGTTTTTAGCCCTGTGGTCTTCAAGCATTCCTGATACGAGCGATGACTTGGCTCTGGAATGGCTTTTGTTGCCCGGTGTTGCACCTTCTCCAGAGCAGCTATGACCTTCTGAAAATGAGGTTTGTATGCTTGGATATAGTAATCTAAGAAATTTATACAGTTGAACCATTACCTTCTTTTCCTTACAGTCAAAAGTATACTTGTTTATCCCAAGAGTTTGGTAGCTTTTTCTGACTGCTGCACCCTTCTGTTGTGCAACTTTTAATGAGTGGTGGATCTTGACTCCAAGATCCCTTCTTCATCAGTCTGCTGTAATGTAATGCTATTAATTTGGCTGTCGTGGTGTGGGTTGTTATGCCCCACATGCATGGTTTTTCATTTGTCGATATTAAAAAGCATTTGCTAGTCTTCTGACCATTTGTGGAGTTCATGTAGATGTCTTTGTAAGGCTTCAATATCATTATCATTTCCCCACTTGACCATAAATCTTTGTGTCATCTGCAAATTTGATGATGTGGTTTGTAATATTCTCATCTATGTCATTGATGTATTGTACATGACAAGAAGGGTAGGTCCCAAAATGGACCCTTGTGGCACTGCACTTAACACATTTTTCCATTCCGATTCATTTCCATTTAGCACCACCCTTTGCTTTGTTTTCTTTCCTTCAATCATTTATTCTTCCATTTATTTATCCATTTGTTTATTTATCCTTCATTTTTCATGATTCATAGCCTTCTTCTAGATCCAATGCTTTTTGAGTGTTGTATGTACAGGTATAACAAGTGCAAATTATTGACAAAATAATTAATGTCTTATCACTAGATTATTTGAAAGGATTACAGGGTTACTTTAAATAAATACAAAAAAAATTGCCAAGCCTCAAAAGGAGTGCGCTGTAGTTTGGACTTTTGACAATCTCCTGCTAGTGATCTCAGCTATGAACCTGCTAAAGTGCTAGTGAATGAATGAATATTCAGGCAGGAAACCTGTGAAAATGCTCCTTGATGGCTGTGGTGTAAAAAAACTGACTAGAAATTTACAGTGCATATAGCATTTTATACATTAAAAATGTAAATGAACTCACTGGAAACCAAATTTCTGACAATTTGAATAATCGACAATAAATAAAAACCGTTGAAGCAAAGTTGAATGTTCCTTGGCAGTATTCTAGTGTGAAAACCCACAAGACATACTTCATCTTTCTTGACCATATACTTACCATAACAGGTTTCTCAGTTTCAAGAGAGCAGTTTGGCAGCTTGAGGATCTCATTACTGATGGCATTATCATCACTACCCATCTTGACAAAGACGGCAGCCTTCGACACACGCTTGATGAGGATGTTGCCTTGATCGTCCATCTTCACTTTCACTCCCTAGAAAATTTAGTTATTGGTTACTTTTTTGCTTTATGTATAAATATCATGTCACAAATACATCACCAAAGCTCAAATGTGATTAAAGTGTTGTTTTGAAAATAAGGATATTTAAAATACAGTATAGCTATGAAGGCCGTCTGGCATTACAATACATCTTTTGCATAATAAATAAAGTTAAGCAAAAAAGTATCGATTAATGTTAACACATTGTAAACAATTATTTTTGTAATTATTTCACTACTGCTGTTATTTTTGCTACTACTCTTCTCATTACTACTACAATGTGTTTTACCAATATACATCACAACCCAAATTGTAAACTAATTGCTTTACAATGTATCTAAAAATATAAACTTAATTTACACTGATGTACACATTTATTTTTGTATTGAGGCAGATATTTTCTCCCCTGATTCCATGTATGACTAACCATCCTGTGAGATGGGAATATTGGATAAACTTATAGCTAGTTTTGGATCTACACTGTGTAATATCTCATATAGAATAAGGTAGCAGCATGTGCTGTGTATACCTAAACTTGTTAATAAAAAAAAAGTACACATTCACTCCAGCCAGAATTGTGAATATTTGCATAATCTAATCTTAATAGTTTTGCATACTCATTGTCACCATTATTAGGCCTACTAAATTTTTTGAGGGCAAATCTATATAAATAAAAATGGAAATGTTCGTTTCTTCAAAATCACTAATCTCCGAAAGTTCTTCACCGATGGCTTTGAAATTTTCACACATTCCATTTGATTTGAGCGGGTTTTTATATACAAACTATATACATGTCATGTCTGTAACAGGAAAAAACCTACTTTCTTTAAAAACTGTGTTTTTCATGTATTTTTCATGTGAGGGAATCTTCGAAACCTCTTTACCGATTGCTTTTAAATTTTGACACCACGTTGCATTCGAATAGGCACGTGTTTTTATATGCCTACTATATACATGCCTCACTTGTGACAGGAAAAAACATGCTTTTTTGAAAAACAGCACCATCTGTTGGACATAAGGGCAACACACACTATAATCTCCGAACGTTCTTCATCGATTGCTTTGAAATTTTGACACAACGTTCTTCATCGATTGCTTTGAAATTTTGACACAACGTTCCATTCGAATATGCAACTGTTTTCTATACCTACTATATAGATGCCACACCTGTGACAGGTAAAAAAACATGCTTTTCTTGAAAAACAACCCCATCTGTTGCATGTAAGAGCAACACACGCTATACTAATTATGTTACGATTCCATTTCAATGTTTCCGTTTGCATTGACAAATTGAATTTTCATAGATTTTGATTTATTTATTTTGTGTGACACTGTATTGGAATTGAGCTGTGTTTTTTTACCATACCATTCATTTCGTGAGTATATTTTATTTTTCTAATTTTTTTATTGTTTTTCCATTATGTTTTTTAATTGTTTTCCTTATATTTCAGTGATGGGGAACATCAGATCATTTGAATATGATCTGAATATGTAAGTCAAAAGAGGTTATTTAGAATGTGGATGTAACGAGTCATGTTGCAGACCTACATTTAAAAATCCACAACAAAGGCTCAAATCATAACATTTGATGGGAACAACCGGAGACTTAGAAGAGGGGGCGAAGTGGCCCTACTGATAAGAAAGGAATGGAGTTTCGAGGAGGTTATCCCAGGCTGCGAGGGGTTCAGAGACTAAATTACAGGCACCATGACGATGGGAGGACCAAGAGTAGTAGTAGTAGCAGTGATATATAACCCTCCACCAAATGACAGAAGACCCTGGCAAGAGTATGACAAACAACATAGCAGTCAACACTATAATCGAGAGAGCAGTCACTGCTGCCTGTAGAAATAGATCCCATCTGCTCATCATGGGGGACTTCAATCATGGAAGGATAGACTGAGAAAACAAGGAACCACACGGAGATGAGTAAACATGGAGAGCTAAATTGTTGGAAGTGGCGACAAGAAACATTTTAAGTCAGCATGTCAGGGGATCCACAAGAATTAGAGGCAACAATGAACCAGCGAGACTCGACCCAGTCTTCACATTGAATGACTCCGACATAAGGGAAAATCGGTTTCGAAGCCCCGTGGGAATGAGCGATCACAGTGTACTGACATTTGAGTATCTGGTCGAAGAAGGGTTAATGTACCCAAGGAAGGGCACAGAAAACAAAAGGATGGCATTCCCAAAGGGAAACTATGAGGAGGTAATAAAAATCCTAACAGATATAACTTGGGAAACAGAGCTCAGAAGAAAGACGGCCCAAGGCATGGTGGACTTCATCACACAAGGTAAGGAGGCAGCAGACAAGTTTTTTCCCGGTCCAAAAGGGAAAAAATGAAATGCAGATGAGAAACCCATGGTTTAATCAGGTATGTAGGCTAGCAAACCAAGTACAAGGACATGGAGAAACTATAGAAATAATAGGACACAAGTGAGCAGAGAAAAGGTACCAGAGCGCCAGAATGAATACGTATGGGTGAGAAGAGAGGAAGAAAGACAATATGAAAATGGCATAGCAAGCAAGGCAAAGACTCAGCCTAAATTGCTGCACAACCACATCAGGAGAAAAACAACGGTGAAAGAACAGGTAATGAAACTGAGGATAGGAGCAGACAGATTCACTACAAATGACAAGCAACTGTGTGAAGAACTCGATAAGAAATTCCATGAGGTCTTCACAGTAAAGCAAGGCGAAGTCCCAGAGATAGGAGAGGGGATATCTAACAAATCGCCACTAGTTGAGTTTGTGATTACCAGTGGGGAGGCGAGGAAGCATCTGCTAGAGTTGGAAGTGACACGCTATAGGCCCGGATGGAATCTCACCTTGGAAACTGAAGGAAGCAGAAGCTCTGTGCCAACCACTTACCATGGTGTATAACAAATCACTCGTAACAGGTGAACTGCCAAAACTTAGAAGACGGCTAATGTAGTCCCGATATTCAAGAAGGGTGACAGACAGGAGACACTGAACTACCGGCCAGTGTCACTAACTTGCATACCATGCAAAATGATGGAGAAGATTGTGTGAAAAAGGCTAGTGGAACATCTGGAGTGGAAGAACTTTGTATCACAACGTCAGTATGGGTTCAGGGATGGCAGATCATGCCTCACAGGATTTTCTTAAATTCAAATTTTGCCCTGAGGGGCAAGTTTATTGGGCAGTGCCACTCATCCTGTGAGTGGACATACCGCCATAGCAGCATGTACAACACTCCCCAATAGGAAGAAAACCTGCTAGGTTGTTCATCCTGTCACATGTACCCAGACACAGCTGGGACTTGCTTAACTGTCTCAAGTGAACAGCTCCTCAAACAAGAAGATTAGCATTTGTCAACCCTTAAAAGCTTACGTTATCTTGCGGGTGGGCAAAATGGGAGAATCTTTTAAGAACAGTATCAATATATGACAAATAGTGTTTTCCTAACTCAAACAATGTGGGGTTTATTATTCTACACATATTTCTAATGTCCCTCAGGTGTCCACATTCATGTAGATAGTGGTCAAGGCGGTGTCCATCACTCTCATCACAGATTCTGCAACTTCGCTGATCAACTGTTGTTTCCATTCCGAATCTCCATGCATATTTGTATCCAAGACGGATTCTCGCTATTACTGATTCTCTTCCGCGTCCTCCTCCTCTTTGGCCATAATGATTGGTATTGCCAGCTGCAACCATGTTGTACCATCGTTCAGATTCACTGATTTGTTCTTCTATCCTCCTTTTCTCAGTTACCTTGTCACAGTGATGTTGCCTGATGATACCTCTAATATGTAGAAGAGTCTTGGGTATGAAGTATTCAATATAGTCTCCTTCAGCGCCTTCGGCAGCCAGCACATCTGCTCGTTCATTCCCACATATTCTAACATGGGATTGATTGAATTCTATGACCAGGCAACAAAAATCAGGCAAGAAAGAGAGGGCTGGGCAGACTGCATATTTTTGGATTGCCTGAAAGCCTTTAACACAATACCAAATAAGAGACTAGGACACAAACTGGAGATGCAGGCTGGAGTGAAAGGGAAGGTATTCCACTGGATAAGGGAGTACCTAAGCAACAGTCACTGAGGGGTGAAGTGTCAAGAGTGGCGAGGCGTCACCAGTGGAGTCCCTCAGGGATCAGTTCTTGGACCTATACTGTTCCTGATATATGTAAATGATCTCCCTGAGGGAACAGACTCGTTTCTCTCAATGTTTGCTGACGATGCAAAAATTATGAGGAGGATTAAGACAGAGGAAGATAGTATGAATCTACAAGATTACCTAAACGAACTGAAGGAATGGTCAAACAAATAGCTACTAAAGTTCAACCCAAGTAAATGTAAGGTAATGAAACTAGTGGGAGGAAATAGAAGGCTAGACACAGGATACCGAATGGGAGATGAAGTCCTTCACGAAACGGACAGAGAGAAAGATCTAGGAGTTGATATCACACCAAACCTGTCTCCTGAAGCCCACATAAAAAGAATAACATCGGCGGTATTACGAGGCTGGCTAACATCAGAACTGCTTTCAGAAACCTCCGTAAGGAATCTTTCAAAACTTTGTATACCACGATGTAAGGCCAGTCCTGGAGTATACGGCCCCAGCATGGAGCCCGTACCTTGTCAAGCACAAGACGAAGCTGGAACAAGTTCAAAGGTATGCCACTAAGCTAGTCCCAGAACTAACTGCCAACAAACTCACCCTTAACATTGACAAAACCTTCTATATTCTGTTTGGCAATAAATCCTCTAATCAAATAAATCTCAAAATAAACAATACCCAAATTTGTAACAAATTAGATGGCAAATTCATTGGCATTCTCATTGACCACAAGCTGAATTTCCAGGGACACATTCTAAACATATCAAAAAAAGTTTCAAAAACTGTGGGCATTCTTTCTAAGATCAGATATTATGTACCACGCCCTGCCCTGGTGACTCTCTATTACTCCCTTATCTATCCATATCTCAACTATGGTATTTGTGCTTGGGGCTCTACTACCCAAAATCACTTACGTCCTCTAATTACTCAACACAAAGCTGCTATTAGGACAATATCCAATTCTGGCCCCAGACATCACTCGGTACCCCTACTTAAATCTCTGAATATGTTAGACATTAAGTCACTGCACATTCTCTCATGTGTATTATACATATATAAAACGCTAAACTATAATGCCAATCCTGATCTCAAAAGCTTCATAGAAGGTTGTATCAGAACCCATGAGCATCACACCAGAAATAAATACAGTTTTGATATTCCTAGAGTACGACTTAATCAAACTAGAAATGCTCTACAAATCAAGGGGCCCAGAATGTGGAATGACCTTCCCAACCATGTTAAAGACTGTACCTCTCTCAACCAGTTTAAGTTAAAAACGAAGCTATACCTAATAAATTCCCTGTAACCTACCTTACCCTTCTATTGTCAACCAATGTCTTTTTCTTTAAAGAGCGCTGTTTGTCGACATAATTGTATTTGTGCTGCTTTTTCATCTATGTTTTCATTTCTTGTTTTCATTCTACTCATTATGCTCAATTAGTATTAAGCTTGTCATTTAAGTTTATCATGCCCGAAATGCTTTGCGTAATAGTGGCTTTAGGCATTGTATGTACTAGCTATACCTATAAGTCAAACAATCCTTGTAAATATTTATTGTATGCATGTACCTTACCTAAATAAAATTGTTTTGTATTGTATTGTATAAAAGGCATCAGTTACGAGGAAAGGCTGAGGGAACTGCACCTCACGTCGCTGGAAGACAAAGAGCCCCGAGAGACATGATCACCACATACAAAATACTCAAGGGAATTGACAGGATGGACAAGGATGGATTATTTAACACGGGTGGTACACGAACAAGGGGACACAGGTGGAAGCTGAGTACCCAAGTAGACCACAGAGATATTATAAAGAACTTTTTCAGTGTCAGAGTAGTTAGTAAATGGAATGCATTAGGCAGTGATGTAGTGGAGGCTGACTCCATACACAGTTTCAAATGTAGATATGATATAGCCCAGTAGGCTCAGGAATCTGTACACCGGAAGATTGATCATTGAGAGGCGAGACCAAAGAGCCAAAGCTCAACTAGGTGAGAACAACTAGGTGAGCACAACTAGGTGAGCACAACTAGGTGAGCACAACTAGGTAAGCACAACTAGGTAAGCACAACTAGGTGAGTACTTACGTGGCCAATATGTCGGCGGAACTCTTCAGTCCTGGGGTCTCTCATGGGGTTCTCGAAGCCGCACAGCCCAATCCTGAAAAAATACACAATATGCATATTTAAGGTTGACATATGTTAAATGAGGAAGCCCTCATAGACTACCCTCACCACAGTCATCATGGACTACCCTCACCACAGTCATCATAGACTACCCTCACCACAGTCATCATGGACTACCCTCACAGTCATCATAGACTACCCTCACCACAGTCATCATAGACTACCCTCACCACAGTCATCATAGACTACCCTCACCACAGTCATCATAGACTACCCTCACCACAGTCATCATAGACTACCCTCACCACAGACTACCCTCACCACAGTCATCATGGACTACCCTCACCACAGTCATCATGGACTACCCTCACCACAGTCATCATGGACTACCCTCACCACAGTCATCATCATAGACTACCCTCACCACAGTCATCATGGACTACCCTCACCACAGTCATCATACTACCCTCACCACAGTCACACCCTCACCACAGTCATCATAGACTACCCTCACCACAGTCATCATGGACTACCCTCACCACAGTCATCATAGACTACCCTCACCACAGTCATCATAGACTACAGTCATCATAGACTACCCTCACCACAGTCATCATAGACTACCCTCACCACAGTCATCATGGACTACCCTCACCTACACCACAGTCATCATAGACTACCCTCACCACAGTCATCATGGACTACCCTCACCACAGTCATCATGGACTACCCTCACCACAGTCATCATAGACTACCCTCACCACAGTCATCATGGACTACCCTCACCACAGACTACCCCTCACCACAGTCATCATGGACTACCCTCACCACAGTCATCATAGACTCATCATCATGGACTACCCTCACCACAGTCATCATAGACTACCCTCACCACAGTCATCATGGACTCACCCTCATCATGGACTACCCTCACCACAGTCATCATGGACTACCCTCACCACAGTCATCATAGACTACCCTCACCACAGTCATCATAGACTACCCTCACCACAGTCATCATGGACTACCCTCACCACAGTCATCATGGACTACCCTCACCACAGTCATCATCATGGACTACCCTCACCACAGTCATCATAGACTACCCTCACCACAGTCATCATAGACTACCCTCACCACAGTCATCATGGACTACCCTCACCACAGTCATCATACCCTCACCACAGTCATCATGGACTACCCTCACCACAGTCATCATGGACTACCCTCACCACAGTCATCATACCCTCACCACAGTCATCATGGACTACCCTCACCACAGTCATCATAGACTACCCTCACCACAGTCATCATAGACTACCCTCACCACAGTCACTACCCTCACCACAGTCATCATAGACTACCCTCACCACAGTCATCATGGACTACCCTCACCACAGTCATCATAGACTACCCTCACCACAGTCATCATAGACTACCCTCACCACAGTCATCATGGACTACCCTCACCACAGTCATCATCACCACAGTCATCATAGACTACCCTCACCACAGTCATCATAGACTACCCTCACCACAGTCATCATAGACTACCCTCACCACAGTCACTACCCTCACCACAGTCATCATAGACTACCCTCACCACAGTCATCATAGACTACCCTCACCACAGTCATCATAGACTACCCTCACCACAGTCATCATGGACTACCCTCACCACAGTCATCATGGACTACCCTCACCACAGTCATCATGGACTACCCTCACCACAGTCATCATAGACTACCCTCACCACAGTCATCATAGACTACCCTCACCACAGTCATCATAGACTACCCTCACCACAGTCATCATGGACTACCCTCACCACAGTCATCATGGACTACCCTCACCACAGTCATCATAGACTACCCTCACCACAGTCATCATAGACTACCCTCACCACAGTCATCATAGACTACCCTCACCACAGTCATCATAGACTACCCTCACCACAGTCATCATAGACTACCCTCACCACAGTCATCATAGACTACCCTCACCACAGTCATCATAGACTACCCTCACCACAGTCACTACCCTCACCACAGTCATCATAGACTACCCTCACCACAGTCATCATAGACTACCCTCACCACAGTCATCATGGACTACCCTCACCACAGTCATCATAGACTACCCTCACCACAGTCATCATGGACTACCCTCACCACAGTCATCATAGACTACCCTCACCACAGTCATCATGGACTACCCTCACCACAGTCATCATAGACTACCCTCACCACAGTCATCATGGACTACCCTCACCACAGTCATCATAGACTACCCTCACCACAGTCATCATGGACTACCCTCACCACAGTCATCATGGACTACCACAGTCATCATAGACTACCCTCACCACAGTCATCATAGACTACCCTCACCACAGTCATCATGGACTACCCTCACCACAGTCATCATGGACTACCCTCACCACAGTCATCATGGACTACCCTCACCACAGTCATCATGGACTACCCTCACCACAGTCATCATAGACTACCCTCACCACAGTCATCATAGACTACCCTCACCACAGTCATCATAGACTACCCTCACCACAGTCATCATAGACTACCCTCACCACAGTCATCATAGACTACCCTCACCACAGTCATCATAGACTACCCTCACCACAGTCATCATGGACTACCCTCACCACAGTCATCATGGACTACCCTCACCACAGTCATCATGGACTACCCTCACCACAGTCATCATAGACTTAGACTACCCTCACCACAGTCATCATGGACTACCCTCACCACAGTCATCATAGACTACCCTCACCACAGTCATCATAGACTACCCTCACTCACCACAGTCATCATGGACTACCCTCACCACAGTCATCATGGACTACCCTCACCACAGTCATCATAGACTACCCTCACCACAGTCATCATGGACTACCCTCACCACAGTCATCATAGACTACCCTCACCACAGTCATCATGGACTACCCTCACCACAGTCATCATAGACTACCCTCACCACAGTCATCATGGACTACCCTCACCACAGTCATCATAGACTACCCTCACCACAGTCATCATGGACTACCCTCACCAGTCATCATGGACTACCCTCACCACAGTCATCATGGACTACCCTCACCACAGTCATCATAGACTACCCTCACCACAGTCATCATAGACTACCCTCACCACAGTCATCATCACCACAGTCATCATACTACCCTCACCACAGTCATCATGGACTACCCTCACCACAGTCATCATGGACTACCCTCACCACAGTCATCATGGACTACCCTCACCACAGTCATCATAGACTACCCTCACCACAGTCATCATAGACTACCCTCACCACAGTCATCATAGACTACCCTCACCACAGTCATCATAGACTACCCTCACCACAGTCATCATAGACTACCCTCACCACAGTCATCATAGACTACCCTCACCACAGTCATCATAGACTACCCTCACCACAGTCATCATGGACTACCCTCACCACAGTCATCATGGACTACCCTCACCACAGTCATCATAGACTACCCTCACCACAGTCATCATGGACTACCCTCACCACAGTCATCATAGACTACCCTCACCACAGTCATCATAGACTACCCTCACCACAGTCATCATGGACTACCCTCACCACAGTCATCATAGACTACCCTCACCACAGTCATCATGGACTACCCTCACCACAGTCATCATGGACTACCCTCACCACAGTCATCATGGACTACAATCACCACAGTCATTCATCATAGACTACCCCTCACTCACCAGCCGCCGGGAACCTCTACCACATATAACTGTTCTCAACTCTCTAAGACACAACTGTGACCTGCTCGTGTCTGCTGCTAGACACAGATACAACAAAATTATTAGTGATGGTAACACAGTCCAGGTCTTTCCGCCCAGGAATCGAACCCAGGCTCCCAGATTTGGAGTCGAGAGAGATAACCCACCCTTCTGTTTAGATAGTAGAATTTGGTACTATTAACTTTATAGAGTCCGAAGAAAATCAAGCTAAAACCCAAAGTTAAATATTCCTAGGCCTACTATAGCACATATATGTACTATAATAGGCCTCAGACAACGTGTATTAGGCCTAGGAAGGTTAGGTTAGGGGTAAGTTTTCTTTGCAACATCAACACAAACTTTTTCCGTTTGTGCAAATTCAATAGCACCGAGTTCAACTTGTTAACTGCCTTATACGTCACTATATGTAGAGTGGTCGTCATCGTTACTGTAACTACTGCCTAAACACGAGGATGGGCTCAAAACGAAACCAACTGTACTAGGAGACCCCTAAAAAATATAATGTGTAAATGTTAGGGGCGAGTTTGTTAGTAGCGAGCCACAAATGGTCTTAATGCAGTAGTCACAGTCACAACAAGTGGGCGAGCATGGGAGAAAATGAAGGTTGTCTGTCCTCAGCGAAGACTTGCTTCAGGTGTTACGTTAGGAAGATCATTGATGTGAGGGAGGGAGTGGGCCAAGTACACTTCCCTCTCGACTGTCAATGGACAGTGAAGGAGAAGTAGCATCGCTCCCCACTGTTAATGAACAACCTGGAAGTTCAACACCATAATTAACAAATTCGGATCACGAGGCTAACCTAAAAGTAAGGAAATAGAGCCTTCAACGCTGGTGTCACACCATGAGATGACTACCATACTGAAAGGATTGTAGAATGTTTTAGTTTTAATCTTATACGAACATATTGTAATTACTGAAAATATCAACTTTCCTCTCGTGGAATTGTATAGAAGGAACAGTATAACAAGAATGGTATAGCAGGACAAGTTGTGACAATCATTAACAGTGATAAGGTGTGGGGACATGTTGACTGTATAGCCACAGTCAGTACTCCTCCTGACACCCCACTGTCAGGAGGACACTTGTGGTCTCATAAGCACAAACCTCTAACATATTCCAATGGTGTGTTATTGAGGCTATTGTGTTTACCAATGTTGTGTACTTGGTCGGGAAGGAGAACAGTGCCCCGTGCACACCGAATATAGTATTAGGAGAAAGGGTGTAC